CATTCCCATTATCATGACCATTACCATTACAATTACCATTGCCATTATCACTATCATTTCCATTACCTTTACCTCTACCTTTACCTTTACCCTTACCCTTATCATTCCCATTTCCTTTACCACTACCACTACCACTACCATTTCCGTTCCCGTTCCTATTCCCATTCACATTCCCATTCCCGTTCCCATTCCCATTACCATTGCCATTATCATTCAACTTACCATTGCCATTGCCATGGCCATTATCATTGTCATTGCCATTGCCAATCTCATTGCCATTGTCATTACCATTACCGTTGCCATTGTCATTGCCATTGCCAATCGCTACCCCCTTACCATTACCGTTACCAGTACCAGTACCAGTACCATTACTTCTGTCATTACCATTACCATCACCATTGCCATTGCCATTCGTCACTACCATTACCATTGCCAGTACCATTTCCACTCCCATTCCAATTACCATGATACTACCGCTGCCATTACCATTAGAATTCTCATTCTCATTCCCAATACTATTACAAGTTCCAGAACCATTACCATTACCATTACCAGTGCCATTACCATTATCACTACCACTATCATTTCCATTCCCGTTCCCGTTCCCATTCCCACTTCCATTCCCATTACCATTACCATTACCACTGCCATTGCCAGTACCATTACCATTACCATTACCATTACCTTTAACTCTACCTACACCTCTACCCTTACCATGACCATTACCATTGCCATGGCCATTACCATTGCCATTGCCATTGTCATTGCCATTCCCATTGCCATTGCCATTAACATTACCATTACCGTTGCCATTGCCATTGTCATTGCCTCGCTACCCCGTTACCACTATCATTACCGTAACCATTACCAGTACCATTACCAGTACCATTACCATTGTCATTGCCATTGCCATTGCCATTCGAGGATTTCAGTAGGAATCATTTAGTGGAGGGTTTCAGTAGGAATCCACATGTGGAGGATTTCGGTAGGAAGCATTCAGTGGAGGGTTTCGATAAGAACCCTTATGTCGAGGATTTTATTGTGAATCCTTCTTATGGGGGCGTCCAATGGGAATCCTTCTAGGGGGAGAGCAGGTGTGGTCACGTCGCATTCCTTTGTTTTTTTTTCTCCTGGTGCCCCCCCCCCCCGAACAAAAAAAAAAACTGTTTGTTTCCCCACATCCTGAGTGGGGTTCTTGTTCCCCACATCCTGAGTGGGGTTCTTGTTTTCCCAGAACACCCTCTCCTTCCCACCCACCTCCCGCCCCATCTTCCATACAGCACAATATTATTCCTACCACACACACCATACCATACCATAGTTCCTACCACACAAACCATACCATACCATACCATACCACACCATACGTACCATACCGTACCATACCATACCATGGCGTACTATAGCATACCATACCATATCACACCAATGCCACACCGTACCATACCATACCATACCTCCAGTACCATACCATACCATATCATACCATACCGTACCATACCATACCTACCATACCATTCCATGCCACTCCATACCGAAAACCATACTACTTACATGGTTTCGTGCCCCTCCCACCCCTCCAGGGAGGCCCCGCCTGAGCGAGGAGGGTATCGGAATACCATACTATTTACATGGTTTCGTGCCCCTCCCACCCCTCCAGGGAGGCCCCGCCTGAGCGAGGAGGGTATCGGAATACCATACTATTTACATGGTTTCGTGCCCCTCCCACCCCTCCAGGGAGGCCCCGCCTGAGCGAGGAGGGTATCGGAATACCATACTATTTACATGGTTTCGTGCCCCTCCCACCCCTCCAGGGAGGCCCCGCCTGAGCGAGGAGGGTATCGGAATACCATACTATTTACATGGTTTCGTGCCCCTCCCACCCCTCCAGGGAGGCCCCGCCTGAGCGAGGAGGGTATCGGAATACCATACTATTTACATGGTTTCGTGCCCCTCCCACCCCTCCAGGGAGGCCCCGCCTGAGCGAGGAGGGTATCGGAATACCATACTATTTACATGGTTTCGTGCCCCTCCCACCCCTCCAGGGAGGCCCCGCCTGAGCGAGGAGGGTATCGGAATACCATACTATTTACATGGTTTCGTGCCCCTCCCACCCCTCCAGGGAGGCCCCGCCTGAGCGAGGAGGGTATCGGAATACCATACTATTTACATGGTTTCGTGCCCCTCCCACCCCTCCAGGGAGGCCCCGCCTGAGCGAGGAGGGTATCGGAATACCATACTATTTACATGGTTTCGTGCCCCTCCCACCCCTCCAGGGAGGCCCCGCCTGAGCGAGGAGGGTATCGGAATACCATACTATTTACATGGTTTCGTGCCCCTCCCACCCCTCCAGGGAGGCCCCGCCTGAGCGAGGAGGGTATCGGAATACCATACTATTTACATGGTTTCGTGCCCCTCCCACCCCTCCAGGGAGGCCCCGCCTGAGCGAGGAGGGCATCAAGAAAATGGGTCCCACGAAACCGTTAATCTCTTTATGTGGGGAACTCCGTTAGCATAATTTTCCCTTCGCGTGCCACTCGCGCAGCGTGTTGCACGCATGGTGAAATCGCATACGATAACCGCAGTATGTGTATGTGTTCGCGTGCGTGCGCAGGGAGTGTCTATGGTACATGCGTGCGTGCGCGTCGGGGTAAGGGGCATTCATTGTACACGCGTGCAAGTTCGGCAGGCCAGGGGCCCTGCAGAGCCCTTCGGGCGCGCACGCGCCCACCCAGGCACGGGCCTGAGGGCGCAGGGTCGGCGGCGAGGGCACGGGCCCCGACCGCGATCCCAGCGGCCGCCCAGGCACGGGCCTGGGGGCGCAACGGCGGCGGCGAGGGCACGGGCCCCGACCGTCAGCCCAGGGGCCACCCAGGCACGGGCCTGCGGGGCCACGCCGGCGGCAAGGGCACGGGCCCTGTCCGCGACACCAGCGGCCGCCCAGGCACGGGCCTGCGGGGCACGCTCGGCGGCGAGGGCACGGGCCCCGACCGCGAGGCTCGCCGGCGAGGGCACGGGCCCCGACCGCGGGACCAGAAGGCTAAGGCCACCCAGGCACGGGCCTGCGGGGCCACGGGCCCCGGCTATGCAGTGATCTTGGGCCATGGCCCAACAGGCGCAGGCCTAAGACCGCTTTGGCGGCACCGCCCCCAACCTCAACAAACCTTTTCCTTCCTCTCTTACCCTCTTACCCCCCCCCATGTACGAGTGAGGTGGAGGAATAGGAGGCTTACACGCCGCGGGTAATCGAGCGCAGCGTGGTCAGAACGCCAAGATCTGCCAAGGGGTGGAATGTGTGCAGGTTGGGCTGGTGCCCAGCCGTTGACTGGTGCAGGGCTCGGGATGGCGCCAACCGAGCAGAGCCTGCCACGCCGTCCTGTCTGCTGGCGATGTCCAGAGCCCGGGCTCTCGACCCCGTCCCCCAGGAGTTGAGGAGCCCCCCCCACCATTCCCTCCTCCCCTCCCTCCTCGCCTCCCTCCCGCCCCACACGGGACAACGGAAAGGAACGTATAGGCCGTAGCCTGTTCGTTGGGGCCCACGCGGGGACCTGATAACATGCGAGGGACGTGACAGCCAGCAGACATGGCTTGATAGTAGGTGGGCCACTAATGCCAGGAGCGACAGTCGTTATCGATTGGTTTGCATGTGCATCCATCCGTAGCGGTTGTGGCTCGAGAGCGCACTGAGGGAGTGCACAGCTGCATTCGCATACCCCCGCACCAGAGTTCGGCATGCCGGACAGGAGCGCGAGCAGGTCCCGGCGCCGGCGACGGTCCAGCCGGTCGAGCCAGCCGAGCCGGTCTGGCAGGTCTCCGGAGAGGCGGCGCCGCCGGTCTGCCGAGGGCCGCAGAGGGAGGTCGGGAAGGAGGCCCCGCGACAGGTCGCCTTCGGGGCCGGCGGCGGCGGCGGCGGCCGCAGGGCGCCCAGAGCCCTCCACAGCCCGCGAGGCCAGGCCGGCGGGCGGCGCTTTCCCGGCAGCCGCTCCAGGAGCAGCGGCGCCAACGCCAACGGTGGCGGCGGAGAGCGCGAAGGACTTCCTGACGAAGATGGTCCCCGATGCGGCGACTGAGCTGCTTGAGAGCGCCGCGAAGGCCCTCCAGGACAAAGGATCCACCATGGGTTGGCAGATCGCCCACATGCCCATGGAGGTGGTCAAAGGAATCCTGTCGCCGACCGAATCCCCGCAGGAACTGACCTTGGTTGCGTGCGCGCAGCAGCACCAGCGCGCCGCGGAGCAGGCGTCCAGGGAAGGGGCGTTGACACAGACGCTCAAGCAGGTCGCCCGCTCCCAGGAGGCGCAGACCAAGGCCGCCCGCAGGGCCCGGAAGGGCGCCCGCAGCGCCAGCTCATCCTCGGATGGGTCCCGCGGCCGGTGCGACGGGGAGTTCGACGCCACTTCGTGCTTGGGCAGGTACGGGGTCCCCGGGGTGGACCACGGTCACATGAAGGACCACGAAGCCATGAAGCCGACCATCCGGGCGGCTAAGAGGGCCGCGTCGAGTGACCCGAACAAGAACCGGTACTTCCTGTGCCGCGGGCCACTCGAGAAGTGGGCACCCCAGTGGATGAAGCACCCGCCGGCCGCAGGACAGATGACCCATGCGCAGTGGGTCGCCTGCTTCTGGAGCAGGGGGCTGGCCCAGCTGGCCGCTCAGGCCGCCAGCAACCAGGAGACCGTGTCCCTGCAAGGCCTTTTTCGTCTGTTCCTAAACATGAACCAGGTCGCCGTGGAGGACACGTGCCGCGTGGCGTGGTCCTTGGAGGCGGACCTCTGGGCCGACGTGGGGGGGCGCTGCCGCCGCAGGGACCAGGCAGTGCGGCCGGAGAGCCTCCTGACCCAGGTGGACGAGAACAGGCGCCTGCGCGCGAAGTCCGCCACAAACTACCAGCACCAGCACGACCGCTCCTTGCGGAGCTTTCCCGGGGCCCAGAGCAGCGCGGCAGCGCCGTGGCAGACGCCCGCCGAGGACAGCGGGCGCGGCACAGACAAGGGCGCCAAGGGCAAGGGCTTCGGCAAGGACAAGGGCGGCAAAGGCTCTGGCAAGGACGGCGGCAAGGCCGGCGGCAAGGCCACGGGGCCAAAGGGCGGCGCCCCGGCGCCGTGGCACCCCCACCGCCGCTGAGCGCCGGACGGCGCTCCCAGGGCACTGGGGGCCGGCGACAGTGCCCAGGAAACGGAAGAGGATTTTTCGGATTCCTCGCGACAGCCGCAGCTGGGAGATGAGTGCGATGACCCAGTGCACCACATGGTGAAAGAATGGCACGCTGCTGTTTCGCCCAGCGAGGAGGGCGAAGGCCCCCTTTCGCGAGAGCAGAAATGCATTCTTGAAGAAATGGTGCACAGTCCGGCGGCGTGGTACGCCAGGGTTGTAGCCCTCCTACAGCACTGGAGGTCTCGCAAGCGAGCAGGGCAGCAGCGCTTGGACCAGTGGCGCGCTTCGCTCCCAGCGCACGAGAAGCATGTTCTGGGGAAGCTGGACCCGTTCATGCTGCAGGACATGTTTTTGGAAAGCGGGCGTGCCGACGCTGAGTACGTGGCAGACCTCATGCGAGGCTTCCCCCTCGCAGACGTCGTGGGGGTCGGCGGCATTGGGTCGGACGTGCCCGGAGGCACGTGCAGCCGCGGGAGGCCCGGCTGGGGCGGCCCGCTGCCGCTGGAGACCCTCCGCGCTTGGCGCTCTGACTTGAATGCAAAGGCGCTGCAAGCAGCCGAAGCCCGCCGCCCCGAGACCGAGGACGAGCGCGAGCTCGCTGCAGCCATCTGGGCGAAGGTCCAGAAGGACGTGCAGGCCGGCAGGACAGGGCCCCTGAGAGAGGTGCACGAGGTCGACCTCGACAACGTATTGCTCGTGGAATCCTTTGGGATTTGGGAAGAACGCGGCTGTTCCGGTAGGAAAGCCCGAGAGATCCACAACTTCCGCAAGAACTTCGTAACCGAATGTGCTTGGATGCCGCAAAAGTTCAGGTACGACACGTTGGATCACATGTTCAAGGGCATTGCTGTCGTGGCCTCTCAGAGTGAACGACTAGGCGTACCACGCAACATCGCTCTCGGAAAGACTGACTTCCAATCAGCTTTCAAGACGCTCCCGCCTGACAAGGATCAGGAATGGATGTGTTGGTCCCTAATATTCAACCCTGAATTGGGTCGGTACCAAGTCGCGCCACTTTGGTCGCATGTGTTCGGCAATCTGGGAGGCGTGGCTGGCTGGTACAGAACAGCCCGCGCCCTCCAGCACATCGCCACGAAGACGTTCTCTCTGCCCGTGTTCTTCTACGTGGACGACGTCTTCTGGGCGGCCGCGGGATACCGGCTCCCCAACGGAGCGGCCCAGTCAGACTGGGTAGCAACGGTGTTCAGGGAAATCGTCAGCGACTTCCTCGGCTGGGACCTGGATCCCGATAAGACCGTGGTGTCTGCCACTCTCCCGCTCCTGGGGCTGCTGCTCACGGTCGAGGACAAGAGCGTCCAGTGGCGCCTAGGCGAGCAGAAGCGGCAGTTGTGGATCTTTGAACTAAGAGGCATCTTGGCTGAGGACTGGCTGACCCCAGGACACGCTTCGAAGCTGTGTGGCAAACGTGCCTTTTTAAACACGCATGTCTTCAATCGCCTGGGTCGGGCGTTGCTGCGGCCATTGATTTGGAGGCAACGTCAGTCGGCCGGTTCCTTTCACCTTACGAATCGTATCCGGCATTCCTTAGAGTGGTTCTTAGAGGTGCTACACTCAGGCCTGTCAAGGGCGGCCCCGCTCCCTCCGCCCCGCTCCGCCCCTGCCGCCCTATTGTACTCCGACGCAGAGGGTACAGGCCATGTGGGGGCCGTTGCAGTGACCGGGCACGACCGGCCAGTCTTCCTGCAGGGCCGGGTCCCGGCGAGCGTGAAAAGGCAGTTGCTTGGGCGCCAGACGAACATAGTGGCCTTCGAGCTGCTGGCGGGACTGATTGCCCTGGTTGCCCTGTGCCCGGAACGCCTTCGAGGCTGCCGGGTGGTCCATTACGTGGACAACACCGCGGCGTTAGCGTGCGTTGTCAGAGGTTTTTCAAAGAAAAAAGACTTAGCCGCTATCGCCGGCCGTCTTTGGTACGAGGCCGCGGCGATGGGCATTCAGTTTGAAGTATATTATGTAAATACGAAAGCGAATCTGGCAGACGGCCCCTCCCGAGGGGATCTGCGGATACTCCGGACACTCGGAGCACAGGAACGTCTAGACTGGATATTCCCAGACTTTTCACAGGGCCTTGACGGATGGATGCAGCTCCGTGGCGAAGCCAACCGCTTGGTCTTCTGACCGCTGGAAGAAAAAGCATCTTGCCCGATCGTCGTCAGTCGTCCCCTGTCTCTCCATTCCTGGCGTTGCATTGTCTCTTCTGGTCAGGAGCGTTTGTTTGGTCGACAGCGGTCGTGCATTCGGCCTCCTGCCCCGCTGTCATCCTGCTCTCTGTCGCGAGTCCGTCGTCGCTGGAGGGCGCAGGAACTGGGGCTGGCATCGGGGGCCGGAACAGGGGGGCCGCAGCCGGCGGGGCTCTTAGGGGGGGCCCAGGATTGGCCCAAGAAGGCTTAAGACGGCCCCAAGGCGGCCGTTGAGGTCCCTTGGGAGGGCTCCAGACAGGCCAAGGCAGCCCGACGGGGTCTCTGACTGGAGGGAAAATGCAGCAAAACGTGTTATGTGCGAGCTCTGTTTGGGAAGGAGGGGAACGGAGAGCAACCAAGCTTTTCGTTCCATACACAAGAACATTCTCGGTTCTCGGTGCGTGCTCTGTTTGGGAAGGATGGGATTGGAGAGCAACCAAACTTTGGACCACAGCGCCCGCGCGCAGAAAGTCCGTTGCCATTTTGGTCTCAAGGAGAGGGTTCAAGCAAACGCGGTCTGGGCCATGGCGTCCCCTCCGCCGTTCACATCCGTCGCACTTGCTGCTCCTAGACCGAGGTCTTCTGCGCAGCATCAGCAGCTGCAGCAGGGAGCGCCGCTGCCAGCGTTCACGTCCGCAGCGTGGTCTACCGTCCCGGCGCCGGCTGTCAAGCGAGACTCCTCCGGCACTGTCAAGCCGCAATCTCGCGCAGCTCTGGATTGGGAACCCAGCAGTGCTGACCCCCTGGATGGGCGCCGGAGCGTGGACGCCGCCGCCCTGGCTCGAAACGCGGCTGGCCCGGTTCCCCCAGGAGCAGGGGGATCTTGGTGGATATCGAGGGCACTCGGACTCCCAGCGTCGCGCTGCACTGGATGGGTGGTCGCCCAGACGTTGTGCGAGTTCGGGAACGAGAAGTCCGTCGCAGAGGCCACGGGGTGGCCAACGTTTGCAGAGCGGGCGGACACCGCCGGCCTGGGGCGTCTCGTGTCCGCGTCTCGTGGGGCGTCTCGTGTCCGCGGTAGTCGTTGCATCAGCTGGTGGCGGCGCCGGCGCACTGCTAGATGAAATGGGCCAGAGGAGTATGATCGCTGCTATCAGCCGGTCTTTGCCGTCTTACTCCGCTGGCATCCGGTGTTGGGCGGCATTCATGGACGCCTTGGGTCGAGGCCGACACTTCCCCGCCAGCGAGCAAGATGCAATTAGGTATTGTTCCCTGTTCCGGCAGCCAAGTACCCTGAAGAGTTACATGACCCACCTGCGGTGGGCCCACCGTTTCCTTCGGTTGAACGACGATTGGTACACTGAATCGTTGCGCCAGGTTTTGAGGGGCCAGAAGAAGATGGCAGGGCCGCCTCGCCAGAAGCTAGCCTTGCAAGCGCTGCAGGTCAGGAAGCTGGTTGCCCACGCGGAGGCCCGCGGGGACTTTGAGCAAGCCGCGCTGTGCGCTGTTGGTCGCTTGTGTATGTTCCGCATGCCGTCAGAATGCATCCCGCTCGAGATTGAGGGGCCCCATTTTTCCGTCGTTATCGAGGGCTTGCGCTTCAGCATATCTCTGACTCGTCGGAAACCCGACCGTCGCCCTGCAATCATCAGGCGGGAATGCTGTTGCAACCAGTCTGGGAGGCTGCTTTGCGCGCTGCACCACCTGGCCCCTGCAGTCGCCCGCGCCCAGCGGGAAGGCCGGAACAGGATTTTTACGAGGTCGGCTGACCAGTCCGTGAGGCGTCTGCGGCAAGACGCTGCTGAAGTTGGACTCCTGGAAGCAGACAAGTTGGGCTCTCATTCGCTCAGCCTGGGGATGGCCAGGGACATCGTGGACAGCGGCGGTAGCCTCGCAACCCTGCTCCGCGCCGGGGACTGGACGAGTTCGGCCTTCGTCCAGTATCTCAGGGACAACCAAGTGGAAGAATTGGCGGCGCTGTCTCTCTTGGTGGATCACTCTGATTCTGAGTGGGCAGCGCAGAGACAAAAGAGCACGCGCGCGCGGACATGCGCGAGGAGAGGAGTCCTGTTTCCCCTCCGCCCCTCCCGATAGTCACGGTCGCTCGCAACGATGGGTAAGGCACGCGATCGCCGGACGATGGGAGCACAGTTGCGGCGACACGCGTGCCCTGGTCTGGCGTTGCCTTCCCATCGTGCGACCAGCGCGTGGACGCCGACAGGCTTCGGCAGGTGGCAGTGGAGGTTTCACTTCGCGTGCCACTCGCGCAGCGTGTTGCACGCATGGTGAAATCGCATACGATAACCGCAGTATGTGTATGTGTTCGCGTGCGTGCGCAGGGAGTGTCTATGGTACATGCGTGCGTGCGCGTCGGGGTAAGGGGCATTCATTGTACACGCGTGCAAGTTCGGCAGGCCAGGGGCCCTGCAGAGCCCTTCGGGCGCGCACGCGCCCACCCAGGCACGGGCCTGAGGGCGCAGGGTCGGCGGCGAGGGCACGGGCCCCGACCGCGATCCCAGCGGCCGCCCAGGCACGGGCCTGGGGGCGCAACGGCGGCGGCGAGGGCACGGGCCCCGACCGTCAGCCCAGGGGCCACCCAGGCACGGGCCTGCGGGGCCACGCCGGCGGCAAGGGCACGGGCCCTGTCCGCGACACCAGCGGCCGCCCAGGCACGGGCCTGCGGGGCACGCTCGGCGGCGAGGGCACGGGCCCCGACCGCGAGGCTCGCCGGCGAGGGCACGGGCCCCGACCGCGGGACCAGAAGGCTAAGGCCACCCAGGCACGGGCCTGCGGGGCCACGTCGGCGGCGAGGGCACGGGCCCCGACCGCGACGCTCGGCAGGGGCGTCTTGCCTGAAGATAAAGTTCCCCCCCCCCCCCTCCGCAACCCCTCTCTTCACCGTCTTAGAATTGTTTTATCTTCATTACCTTCGTGGGTCCAGGGCACTCGGGCCCGCCCTTCCCAACCCTCGCCTCCACGCACAGTTGCGGCGACACGCGTGCCCTGGTCTGGCGTTGCCTTCCCATCGTGCGACCAGCGCGTGGACGCCGACAGGCTTCGGCAGGTGGCAGTGGAGGTTTCACAGAACACCCTCTCCTTCCCACCCACCTCCCGCTCCATCTTCCATACAGCACAATATTATTCCTACACACACACCATACCATACAATAGTTCCTACCACACATACCGTACCATACCATACCATACCACACCATACGTACCATACCGTACCATACCATACCATGGCGTACCATAGCATACCATACCATATCACACCAATGCGACACCGTACCATACCATACCATACCTCCAGTACCATACCATACCATATCATACCATACCGTACCATACCATACCTACCATACCATTCCATACCACTCCATGCCGAAAACCATACTACTTACATGGTTTCGTGCCCCTCCCACCCCTCCAGGGAGGCCCCGCCTGAGCGAGGAGGGTATCGGACAACCATACTATTTACATTGTTTCTTGCCCCTCCAACCCCTCCAGGGAGGCCCCGCCTGAGCGAGGGGGGTATCCGAAAACCATACTACTTACATGGTTTCGTGCCCCTCCCACACCTCCAGGGAGGCCCCGCCTGAGCGAGGAGGGTATCGGAATACCATACTATTTACATGGTTTCGTGCCCCTCCCACACCTCCAGGGAGGTCCCGCCTGAGCGAGGAGGGTATCGGAATACCTACTATTTACATGGTTTCGTGCCCCTCCCACCCCTCCAGGGAGGCCCCGCCTGAGTGAGGAGGGTATCGGAAAACCCTACAATTTACATGGTTTCGCGCCCCTCCCACACTTTTAGGGAGGCCCCGCCTGAGCGAGGAGGGTATCCGAAAACCATACTATTTACATGGTTTCGTGCCACATTTCGCCTCTCCAGGGAGGCCCCGCCTGAGCGAGGAGGGTATCGAAACCATACTATTTACATGGATTTCGTGCCCCTCCCACCTCTCCAGGGAGGCCCCGCCTGAGCGAGGAGGGTATCGGAATACCAATACTATTTACATGGTTTCGTGCCCCTCCCACCCCTCCAGGGAGGCCCCGCCTGAGCGAGGAGGGTATCGGAATACCATACTATTTACATGGTTTCGTGCCCCTCCCACCCCTCCAGGGAGGCCCCGCCTGAGCGAGGAGGGTTTCCGAACACCATACTATTTACATGGTTTCGTGCCCCTCCCACCCCTCCAGGGAGGCCCCGCCTGAGCGAGGAGGGTATCGGAAAACCATACAAATTTACAGGTTTCGTGGCCCCCACATCTCCAGCGAGGCCCGCCTGAGCGAGGAGGGTATCCGAAAACCATACTATTTACATGGTTCGTGCCCTCCCACCCCTCGGGAGGCCCCGCCTGAGCGAGGAGGGTATCGGAAAGTTGTGTGGGAGGGCGGAACCATGTGAATATTATGGTTTTCGGATACCCTCCTCGCTGAGGCGGGGCCTCCCTGGAGGGGTGGGAGGGGCACGAAACCATGTAAATAGTATGGTTTTCCGATGCCCTCCTCGCTCAGGCGGGGCCTCCCTTGAGGGGTGGGAGGGGCACGAACCCATGTAAATAATATGGTTTTCGGATACCCTCCTCGCTCAGGCGGGGCCTCCCTGGAGGGGTGGGAAGGGCACGAAACCATGTAAATAGTATGGTTTTCCGATGCCCTCCTCGCCAGGTCTCGTAGCCCTCCCCCCTTCCAGCGGGGCCCCGCCAAATCGAGGAGGGCATTAAGAAAATGGGTCCCACGAAACCGTTAATCTCTTTATGCGGGGAACTCCGTTAGCATAATTTAAGGGTTTTTTTCCCACATCCTGAGTGGGGTTCTTGTTTTCCCAGAACACCCTCTCCTTCCCACCCACCTCCCGCTCCATCTTCCATACAGCACAAAATTATTCCTACCACACACACCATACCATACCATAGTTCCACAACATACCAAACCATACCATACCATACCATACCATACCACACCATACGTACCATACCGTACCATACCATACCATGGCGTAACATAGCATACCATACCATATCACACCAATGCCACACCGTACCATACCATACCATACCTCCAGTACCATACCATACCATATCATACCATACCGTACCATACCATACCTACCATACCATTCCATACCATTCCATACCGAAAACCATAGTATTTACATGGTTTCGTGCCCCTCCCACCCCTCCAGGGAGGCCCCGCCTGAGCGAGGAGGGTATCGGACAACCATACTATTTACATGGTTTCTTGCCCCTCCCACCCCTCCAGGGAGGCCCCGCCTGAGCGAGGAGGGTATCCGAAGACCATACTATTTACATGGTTTCGTGCCCCTCCCACCCCTCCAGGGAGGCCCAGCCTGAGCGAGGAGGGTATCGGAATACCATACTATTTACATGGTTTCGTGCCCCTCCCACCCCTCCAGGGAGGCCCCGCCTGAGCGAGGAGGGTATCGGAATACCATACTATGTACATAGTTTCGTGCCCCTCCCACCCCTCCAGGGAGGCCCCGCCTGAGCGAGGAGGGTATCGAGAAAACTATACAAGTTACATGGGTTTGTG